GTAGTTTTTTTAGCGCACGCATGTGCAAGGAAAGCTGATTATCAGACGTGGAAAGTTATGCAAATCAAAGTTTCGTTCAGAGCGAGCTGACCAAGAATATTGAAATTAAGAACCAATTTTTAGTATTCAGCATGTACCCGTGTTCTCAAGAGACTGTTTGTATTAGGTTGTCAAGAAAGTAATGTCCGTTTTTATTTGCTTGCTTTAACAAAGCAACCAGACTCAACCCAACAAAGGGTAAGGGGCACTGTTCGATAGGGCAAAGCAAGCCCTACAAGATAGCGCTCATGACTTTGCGTCATGCTCGATACACGGAGAGTTCGAACTCAAAATCTAAGGATTTCCAAATGCTCAAAAAATCGAAAAAAAATCCAATCTTCGTCCAAATAATTTCTACGGACCCACTCGCTCACATCAATACTATCAATATCTGATATCCATATATGCGATTGCCGTATTTTTTCCTTGACTAGAAACTGAGAAAACGAAAATTTCCCTGATTTTCTCAAAGCAATGCTGAGCCGTTTTTGCATATGTAGTTCTATACTACAAGGCTAGGTAAGTATAACTGTAGATTTTCAGCCCATTCCAAGCGGTAGTTTTCGAAAAATAACGAATTCGGATTTTTTCGTTTTAATTTCAGTGCTAAAATCGACATTTCTCGAAAAGTACAGCTCGAAATAGGCTGAAAACCTACAGTTATGTTTACCTAGGCTTGTAGGATAGAACTACATATGCAGAAACGGCTCAGCATTGCTTTGACAAAATCAGGGAAATTTTCGTTTTCTCAGTTTCTAGTCAAGGAAAAATACGGCAACCGCACATATGGATATCAGATATCGATAGTATTGATGTGAGCGAGTGGGTCCGTAGAAATTATTTGGACAAGATCTGATTTTTTTCGATTTTTGAGCATTTGGAAATCTTTAGATTTTGAGTTCGAACTCTCCGTGGATCGAGCATGACGCAAAGAAATGAGCGCCATCTTGTAGAGCTTGCTTTGCTCTATCGAACAGTACCCCTTATTCTTTGTTAGGTTGAGTCTGGTTGCTTTGTTAAAGCAAGCAAAAAACGGACATTATTTTCTTGACAACCTAATATAAACATGTGACAAATATCGCCTCCTGACTCTTTGGCCATTGATCGAAAAATCGCAACATTTAAATTGTGTTTTTCTAAGCAACCTTCATTCCTCCAACCTCAAGTCACCAAGATCATTCTCTATATTAGAGCTGTGTGCTTTTCTAAGTTCTTGATGCAGTTAGTACCCTAATACGTGCATAAGACTGTATTGAAAGTTTGATTCTTCACTACAGCGCATATTTCTGCAAAAACTGCAAAAAGATAGGCTTCCCCCCCCCACTCATAGTCGAAAACGCTTGGAGAGTTCCTTCCAATTCTGTGAAAAATGGAAGCAAACCTTATTTTCTTTACCAGTTTTTTAATCTCAGCTTTAGCAACATAGCACTGCTGCCTTTTCAGCCCTTGTGTGTAGCATCATCATGCGTTATCACTTCCCACAACACAACCAAAAAAGCTCTTCAGGGCCAATTGTTGACACATGGTAAATTCTATGTTCCCATAGTCTTCTTGCATATGAGTATTCTGAGGAAATCCCTTACTTCGACTCAGATGGCAAACTTACCTGCAAGATTTCACTATATTAAAAATAACGTATACGAATTAACAAGCGATTGTGTTGTATATTCAGTAGCTTTCTTTGCCAGACAGGTTTGATATGAATGTTTTATTTGGCCTAACGTTTCGGCACTAATGCCTTCCAAAGGCCCAAAAGTCAGCATTCACCTTAATTTTGCACTTTACACGGCCATTGTCAGCGTGACCCTTGCTGAGTTGTTTGTGAATTGGATACTCGTTAATGTCCACTCGTAATGAATTAGGTAGTTGAATCTAGAAAAGTTAACCGTAAAGTACAAGATTAAGGTGAATGACTGACTTTCAGGCCTCCAAGGAAGGCATTAGTGCCGAAACGTTAGGCCAATAAAACATTCATATCAATTCTGTCTGTCAAAGAAAGCTGCTGATGGTACGAGGTAACAGGCGATTGACTTAGAAAGCGCAGATAGGGAGAAATCATTGAAATTCTTTAGTATTCGTATTACTTATTTGTCTATCATTCGCAATGATGTTGACATAAAAGTACTCTCAGTTCGAGTAGCAATAAACATTTCATTTATAGGCGTTGAATCGACAATGGATTTGAAACAGAATACTTATCTGCACCTATTTGTGGTCAGATGATGAGTGAGTTTTTGTTAAGCACAGCACCACCATTAATGTACTTAAAAATAAAAGTTCAAGAAGTTGTAAAAATGTGCAAAAAGTACAATTGCCTGCTTGAGAAGTACACGTGAAAACATTTAAATTGAGATTCACAATCGACTCAAATTAGTATTTCATAAGTGCATGCACACTGCAAAAAGAACTTCCAATCTTTTCACTGATGCGACAGTCATGTCTACAGCGTCTACCATCTTAAGAGCCAAAAATCTTCTAAATGAAAAGAAGACATTGCAATCGGCCGCAATGAATTGCCACTTGAAGAAGTTTGAATAGTAACATAGATTTTCATTTGTTCATTTACTGTGAGACTCAAACCGCAGGGAAGACAAGAACAACAAATACGCTTCCACCGCTGCTTTTTTGGCTGTTCTCATCTTTTTGTGCCTGCACCAATGACTGTACAGGCAGTGCACTTTGTTCCAATGAAAAAAGAGAATGCGAGAAAAAACGCAATCTTTATTTGTCTTAGGAAGTGTATAGCTCACTTCAGGAACCTACTTCAAAACCTTCTATCTTCGAGAAAGGAACGGACCTTGATCTTGCTTGCTCCTGTTTTTGTGCTTCGCAAGTCTTAGCCTCGAAGTGCGAAGTGACCTAGCTATTCACTTCGCACTTCGTAAAAGTGTTGCAGAATTTTCGCACGTAAATCGCAGCAGTTGCCCAATCATGGTTATTGATCGCGTTCCGCACTGTTGGCAATATTACAGTGATTAACCCGCAAAATTTTCTTGTTCCCGTTTATTTCTAAGGCATGATGATATCTTTGAATTGTTGCCTTTCAGTATCTCATGTTTCTTGTTCATTCCGTCGCTGCTTTGATACCTCTTGTTTTCTCAGCCAAGACAAAAGCTCATATTGTTGTGATCTACAATCGTTTGAGTCAAAACTCATCCGTCTCTACTTTTTGTCTTTTTCTTTCTTCTCCCACTATTTGGTTGGATAATGATGCTGCTTTGAGTTCCTCCTGTCATGATCATTTGTTTCTTGTCATGAGGTCCGGTTTACGATTTTATTGCTGTTTTTCACTGCTTGCTCGTTCAAAAATGGTAAATACTTAGCTCGTCACAATTTTCTGTTACGTTGAAATTTCAATAATTCCGTAATTTTTGTTTCAGGACTTGGCTGGAGTCGATTAAGAACGTATAGCTATTGGATCACCACATATTCACTTTATAAACGCATTAGAGTAAACACCCATACACTGCTTCATTGACAATCGCTATGACGTCTAGTTGCTAGAATTGTGCAACCTTTTCCAACTAGGTTTACTCGGTAGCTCACTCTTTGTTTATGTACATTATATAAAAACTGTCCATTTGGTGTGCACGTTTTTTCAAAAAACTGTCAAAAAATCTTTCTTGCATTCTTGTATTTCTCTTTTTATCAAGTATGATTGACCACGCCTCGCTTACAAATTCCAGAGATGATGTAATAATTAGCTAATCGCAAGAAGGACTCATTTCTCTGCTATCTTCAGTAAAGTACTACACATGCACTTATTAGGTATAAGATTCACTTGAACTGGCCGTTATATCGAGATTCTCATTTTTCTGGAGCACAGTTACCCTGTGTGCTTCCTGAACTGCTCACTATTTTGTTCAGCGTGAAGCGTAATAATCTGCTTCATTTTTGATTAAAGATATACCTGCACCCTATGCGGATCTGCTTTCTTTTCTCAATTTAATAATATATCCGCCCTCACTAATTATCAGCCCCCACCCACTTTCTAGCGACCCGTAGGGCCGCCAATCAGGTCTAAAATTAACACAAAAAACTGCTGGATCGTGTCACAACGAATGGCATTACGTAATTCATATCGATTCAACCGTTTTTCTCATTGCCCCTTTTGCAAAGTTTTTTTTTGACTGAGGGGTTTTTTTGGATTAACCACTGTCTCTTTAGCCAAAGATGTCCAAAACCCTAACGCAATGCAAGGTGATGCAAAGCTTTGAACACTAATCTAAGCAGGTGGAAGATAATTTGATAGGTATGTTGAATTCTGTTTCATGCACGAACCGATCCCTAGTGCGGCGGCGTTAGCTCTTTTCCCTGTGCTGTTTTGTTTTTACCCTCGTACAGTCCTTTTTGTCCGTTTTTGCATTGTTTTGGTTCGTTTCTGATCCTCTTCTAGGATTGTCTTGATTGGTTTTTTGGGCTCTTCCCTCGCATCCAGCTTTCTTTTTTTCATTTTCTTTTCCTTTTATGGTCTGGTTGTCGTTATTTTTGCGGCCGCGTTTTATCGAATTATTGTAGATCATGGCCCGCACTCGTGTTACAAGAACTCAAAATCGAATTAGTGCAACCCATCTCAGACATTCGCAGTTAAGTCCCGCCGGAGATCCGCCCACAAAATGAGATTTCGCGAGAAAACCGGGAGTCTGGCGCGACTCCCGGTTTTGTCCCGACTTTCGGGACAATCCCGACAGTCAAAAAGTGGCGGGAGATTACCGGGAGTCGCGCTCATCGATTGTGACGCTATTGCGCGTCAGTATCGATTCATTCGTATTTCCACACTAACTCCACACTAACTCCTCTATTTCCACACTCTGCATTAACTATATAGTTCTATTAACTATAGTTACGCTCTCTTAAAGTTTCGAAAACTGTTGACTAGATACTTTCACGTTTTCAAACGTTCTACAGGCCACTTTAGGTTTTGGCTGGGCCTAGGAAACAACGATGAGGCGAGGACGAAGATGTTTGACAGGTTGTCGGAGGCGAGGATGAAGCTTTGTGGATTAGCACGAGTGGCTATAGGAAGAGCTTTGTGGGTTTCATTCAAAGATAGTCTTCATGAATCTATTGAATTTGAAGTTCAGAGGTGACCTGCGCGCCTACCATTTCGATGCTGAAAAGGAGATGCTGTCGCCACCCTCGGTAATATTCATATATGATTTCTCAAATCAGTGTTGAATTGTAATTCTTTTCCAGAAAAAACGTTTTTGCCCCGCTACAACGCAAGATTCTTTGGCGCACGAGCACACGAATGAGCCAGAGCATGAGCAAGACGAAGACATCGAAAGTCTGAAGTCGATTTGAATAATGGATTCAATGTCAAATCTTGATCTCGACATTCCTGTTTTTTTCTGTTAACTTAGTTATGATGATTTCAATGTTCTTTTTTTGGTCACGGATGCTAATGAAGAGTCTTTCTGAACTCTGTGTCGAGCACAGCACCTTTGTAAGATGTGTGCAGTGTAAATTTTTGAAGGAGAACCAATTCTAGAAAAAGCCCAGGCGGAAGCTGATCGGGTCGCTGCTATATCGCGCCTCCCGCAGGAGACTGCAGTCTAGAGCGGGAGTCCCGCCGGTGACCGAATCGCGAGAAAACCGGGACTCCCGAAGGTCTCAGTAGAAAACATGTCGGGACAAAACCGGGAGTCGCGCCGGATTATCCCGAACGAAAACCGGGAGTCCCGGTTTTCTCGCGAACCATTTTACTTGTGTCCCGCAGTCATTCCGGCGGGACACAACTTTTTCACCGGCGGGACTTAACTGCGAATGTCTGAGCAGGCCACCCAGAATGGGGAAAACGGTAGAAATGCTGGACGAGGGATTGATTGTAGCTGTATGTCCATTCAGAACCTGATTTCGTCAATCTCAGAATTGAATAAGGACTCGACGATCCAAACAATGTTGGGGGTTCTCGCTGAGAAAATCTCTTCCGGATTTTCGGAGGTGGTCGAGGCGGAGAAACGTGGACGCAGTTTGGTGATTAGTGGCGTCCCACAATCTCCGGAGGGGATGGCCATCAGACCGTCGAAAGTATCTCCAAAATAAGGTGGATGACGATGATTTTTGACGCTCTTGATGTAGACTGCACCACTTCGGAGGTGTTTTGCATTTTAAAGCGAGCAGCTCGAACTCGCGTTAAATAAAAGTAGTCATGCCCTCCACCTTTTATTGGCGGAGGGCATTGGCGAACGCTCACCTCCTCCGTCATGCTGGTTATTCTAGCGTTTTCATAAGCAGAAGCATGACGGAGGAGGAGAGAAGGCGCGAGTTCGAGCTACGCCAAATTTCCCGTGAGAGAATTAAAGGGAAAGCGAGCAAGGAATGGGTAATTTACAAGAGTGAATTAGTGCGCGTTTCTGACCTACGTAAGAGGAGATCGGAAAACGCGTAAAAGTGCATGGTGAGCGGCAAAAGAAAGAAGCAATCAAAGTTTTTCTATTGAATGCTAGAAATTTAGTAAAGAAAATACATCATTTACAATCATTTCTGTCAGAGCACAAGCCTGATATAGTTTTTGTTATGGAGACATGGCTTACGGGAAAAATTAGTGATAGTTAAGTTATAGGACATCTTCCTTGTAAGATTTTGCGTGTAGAGAGACATAGCCGCAGAGGCGGTGGAGTCTGTTGTTTAGCAAAAAGTACTCTTCTAGTTAAATCTTGCATTATTGACAATAGTACAATGCCAAACATCCTCTGCGTCGGCATATTCTCTTCACGTGAGCGTACCTGGTTACGCTTTTTAGCGGTTTACCGTCCCCAAATAGCGCATATGCACATATTGTGTAATTTTGTTAGCGAATACGAAAAGACAATAGTTTTGGGAGATTTTAATCTACAGATAAGTTGGCCCGAGCCTCAATCTCTTGATAGAACTTCATCAAATTATCTAGAGTTTTTCCGTAACTCTAGTTTGAAGCAGTCTGTTACAGAACCAACACACCGCTCTCACGTTCTTGATCTCGTGTTTTCGTCCTCACCTATTGTCTCGATGCGCGCACTATGCCTCCTCTTGCAAATTCCAATCATCGTATAGTCGAATTTTCAGTCTCTATGAAATTGACCAGTCACATTTCTCTGCCAACACCTCATTTTCGAAAAGTCGACTACAGTCTGCCCCAATCGGGATCAGGCCGAACCGCCGGCTGAATTTGCGCGCCCGCAACGCTAAACGTCTGCGCTGCATATGCGAACTGTCGCAGAGAGCGAAGCTATTGAGGAGAGGGCAGAATGGCTAGCCGTAGATGTGACGCAATACCTTCGCGGCACGGGTTCCCGCCATGCCAATTTTGGCCTGGTTGGGATTGGGGCAGACTGTATACTTCTCTTAATAGGTATTTCGAAACCATTGACTGGTTTGCTATATTCGACCAGTATGAATCAGCAGATGACGTATACTATCGTTTTTGTGTGACAGTGTACGGTGCATTTGCAAAATTTGTGCCGTTTAAACTTTTTGAACAGCCCCGCCAAGGCTATCCCTTACAGATAGGGAAGCTTTTAGCTCAGAAAGAACGTTTATTCAACTCTCTGGTCAACCCTTTGATGAACTCTATGTATAAGAAAGTATGCAAAGATGTGGATCATCACTCAAAGAGATTTTTGAAAACATAAGAACATAAGTTGGCTATGAAAGCTTCGTCGAAATCTTTCTTTCAGTATATTAATCAAAAATTGAAACCAACCCGTCATCTATCTGCTATTTCCGACCGAAATGGGGATATCTTTAGTACAGACATGGATAAATCGCATGCCTTAGCTCGCTATGCCGATGTGTTCTCTCACGATGATCAAATTGTGCCTTTGGAATTCTCTACAGTTCCCACTGTTCATCACTGCCTTTCTACTGTCTACTTCGATCCCTCTGAAATCCGGAGGATCTTAATCAGATTGAAAGCTTCCTCTACTGAAACGTACGATGGTATTCCGCAAATTGTTTTCAAGAAATGCGCCTCATCTTTTTGTACTCCTCTTGCGCATATTTTCAACACATTCATGCTTGGAGAGGTGCCGCAGGTCTGCAAGGAGGCGTTGGTAACCGCAATCCCTAAAGTTCCTAACGCTAAACTCCTTTCAGACTTCCGGCCCATCAGCTTGGTTACTGCAGCAAAAGTAATGGAGAAAGTAGTACGTGATAAGCTTTTGAATTGGTTTGCAAAATTCAATGTACCCACGAATTAGCACGGTTTTATGGCGGGATTGTTCACAATAACGAATCTCGCCGACTCCGTTTTTAACTGGAATTTGGCACTTAACAGAGGCAACTCTGTCGATGTCATTTACATCGACAGAGTTGCCTCTGTTAAGTGCCAAATTGTAAATCCAAAATGGATCTGTCTAAGGCATTTGACAAAGTAAACTATATGATACTTTTGTCGAAATGTGAGAGTCTTGGTTTGAGTGGAAATCTTTTAAAATGGCTGAAATCTTATTTGAATAACAGAGGAATGACGGTTTTTGTAGGACACCAGTTTTCGGAGCGATTCAGCTGCACAAGCGGTGTCCCACAAGGCGCAGTACTGTCTCCCCTGCTTTTTCTGGTGTATACGGTCGAGCTTTAAAACATCTTGAAAACATCAACAAATATTACAATACAAATGTATGCGGATGATATAAAAATTTATGGGATTTATAATGCGGAAAATACAGCTGAGGTCAGAAGAGCAATGAAAGTTTCTCTTGAGAAAATGAGGCATTAGGCAGCTTGTTTAGGCATTCCTATTAACTCTGAATAAAGTTTTGTCATGCATTTTGGAGACTTTGAAAATCCAATCCATGAGATAAATGGAAACAAACTGAGAAACTGTTCTACCGCCAAAGACTTGGGAGTTTTGATTGATTCCGATTTGAATTTTTTGCTCATATTGATAATGTAGTTAATAAAGCTTGTTCGGTTTTATTTGCGATTTTTCGTGCGTACATACCGACAATCCGGTGATCTTCAAACGTCTCTACCGAGCTTACGTTTTAGCTCATTTGGAATGTTGTTCTGTAATATGGAATCCCTTTTTGAAGAAAAATATTTTGAAGCTGGAAAAAGTGGGAAAAATTTTTTACTCGTATTCTGTACCTGAGGTGTCGTAGAAAACTCAATTTCATCGATATGCCGAGCTACGATCGCCTTAGGTTTTTGGCAGTGAAAAGTTTAGAATATAGACGAATATTTTTTGACCTCGTTTTTGGTTTTCGACTTTTGCATAAAGAATTGAGACTTGCCCCAAGTAAATACTGGATTCTTAGACCTACAAACAGATATGGTGGGTTTAACATTCATTATTTACTTATTTACAGGAAGCGTTTTCGTTGGGTTTTCAATAGTTTGTTTTACAGAATCCCTCGATGGCTTAGACTATTACCAGAAACTGCACTGCAAACCGCATCTACAAACGTATTCAAGCGTAAAATCAATGCAATTGACTTATCCTTCCTACTGAGACAATCTGAGAATGAGTAGAATTTCTCTTCAAGGGCTGACTTTTATAGCCTTTTGAGCTTTGAATTTTTGAACGTTATGATTGTTGTACTTAACACTTATCCTAGTTTCGTCTCCGGTGGTCACTTTTGCTTAGAAGCTACTTTGGATCGTACACAATATTCTTCCAAGCCATCCCATTTTATTCATTTTTATTTGTTTCTCATGGTAGCGATGTAAGAGGGAGCTGAAAAAGGTCCTCCGCCGAGCACGCATGGATTCGCCCGTTCGCTTTGGTGCTTCCTCTTTAGATTCGCTTGTAAGTGATTCGCTTATGGCTTTCACACCATGATTTATGCTGTTGAATTAATGGGCTAAGCTTGCTGTCTTCTAAATTTGGATCCACTATGGCTGCTGGAGACACCGTCTATGATTGGCTATTTTTTGGTTTTCGCTTTTTTTGCCCTAACCACGTTCGTCAGGAGCATCTATGAATGCACAAAATAAATAAATAAATAAATGGTGATTGTCTCACTTCAAGACTCTGAGTTCGTGTTCTCGGATTTGGGCGCAAGGAGTTAGAAGGGGCTGCCACAAATCTCTAGGGCTCAATCTTCTACGTGGGATTAGGCGCTACCGAATCGGAAAGAATAGAAGTCCCGTGTAAGCTTCTACGACAGAAGGCGTGGAAGAGCTACATGTACATTGCCCTTCAAAAAACATTTATTGCAATGAAGCTTCGTTTCAGACGAGGCATAAACTCATATTGTTTAGATCAGTGCACAGGGTGGAATAAGACCCGTAAATTTATTTGAAAGCAGTATACTGAGTGTTTCGTACATAGTTTCTTTTTTCGGAAGCAAGCTAAAGGACGAACGGCGAAGAATGTACGC